GGGCTCACGCGGCTGCTCCGCGCCCAGTTCGGCCCGGGTAGGCGACGCCCGTGGCCGGGCCGGCCCGGCCATGCCGCTGGAGGTGCAGGACGCGCTGTACGTGGCGCTGGAGCTGGCAATCGCCGCGCTGTCGGTGGCGGGCAACGTGCTGGTGTGCGCCGCGGTGGGCAAGTCGAGCGCGCTGCAGACGCCCACCAACTACTTCCTAGTGTCCCTGGCGGCGGCGGACGTGGCCGTGGGGCTGTTCGCCATCCCCTTTGCCATCACCATCAGCTTGGGCTTCTGCACTGACTTCCACAGCTGCCTCTTCCTCGCCTGCTTCGTGCTCGTGCTCACGCAGAGTTCCATCTTCAGCCTCTTGGCCGTGGCCGTCGACAGGTACCTGGCCGTCCGCGTCCCCCTCAGGTGAGGCGCGCGGCGTCCCCGACCCCGGGGCCCTGTTGCAGCCCCGCGATGACCGCCCGCTCCAGGCCAGGTTCCTGCCCTCAGGAACCCCAGACAGGCGAGGCTGAGGCGCGCGGGGCGCTCTGAGCTCCGGTTCCCCAGCCTGAAGGACTCCGGCCATCCCCAGAGACACGTGCGCCCGGGCTGCCATTCCCTCTCGGTTCCCGGCACCCAGAGAGGCCTCTGCACCCCCGGATGCGCGCGTCTCTTTAAGGGGACCTGCGTGGGGACAACACTAGAGGTTCCGGGGAGGGAGGTCCCCGGGCTCCCGCCCGCTGTGGAAACTACGGGAAAGCGCCACCCAGACGGGCGGGTGGAGGCCCGGGCGCAGGGTATTTGGTGATTGCATCTCCTCTTCTGCGGCAGAGCTGTTTCCTCCCACCTCTCACCCGCAGCCCACCTAGAGCGAGGCCGAGGTCCAGAGCAGCGGCCAGACGCGGCCCTGAGTGTTGGGGGTCCGGGAGGCCGGAGAGGTTCCAGGGCAAACTTTGGATGCAGGGACTTAGCATTGTCAGAGTGGACACTACTCACGACCCAACTTCAGAATGTACCTGCTGCAAAATGAGGGCTGGGCAGATCCGGGGGGGATGTACCAGTTAAAGTTGGGGGACGCTACGGTCCCTGCAGTCTTAATGGTGACTCAAATCACCTCCATTTACATTTATTTAGTTAGTGAGGAAGATCAGCCCTGAGCTAACATTCATGCCCATCTTCCTCTACTTTATATGGGACGAAGCCAAGCGGTCTGGCCAGTGCTCCGCAGGGATCCAAACCCGCGAACCCTGGCCGCCAAAGCGCAGCGCGTGCCCGTAACCGCTGCGCCAGGGGGCTGGCTCCTCCATTTAAATTTTTTTTTTTTTTTGAGGAAGATCAGCCCTGAGCTAACATCTGTGCCAATCTTCCTCTTTTTGCTAAGGAAGATCGGCCCTGAACTAACATCTATTGCTCATCCTCCTCTTTTTTTTCCCTTTTTCTCCCCAAAGCCCCAGTAGATAGTTGCATGTCGTAGTTGGACATCCTGCTAGTTGCTGTATGTGGGATGCCGCCTCAGCATGGCCGGACAAGCCGTGCATTGGTGTGCCCCTGGGATCTGAACCCCAGCTGCCAGTAGCAGAGTGCGCGCACTTAACTGCGAAGCCACCGGCCAGCCCCTCCATTTACTTTTAAAATGAGTTAAAGTGCTTCCCTGTTCGCCTAGAAGAGCAGCCTTAGAGCCTCATGCCATTGTGTAACTTGTTTATTCTCCGCTGCCCTGTCCCAGCAGGCTGGGAAAGTGCCACCAGGATTTCAGAATACTGGAGAATTTATGGGTTCTCTGTTTCTCCTGCAGTGAGAAAATGTAGGATTCAAGCGATGGAGGAAGCCAGCAACAGAGTGGAGCCCCAGGTGTAGCTAAGGAACAGATTCAAAGTTGAGAGCTGAGAACAGGAGTATCAGGGAACCTTAGGGCTTATTGAAAATATTTACTATCTTTGGTGCCTGGGCCCCTTGGGCCTTTCTTCTTTTTTGCTGAGGAAGATTTGCCCTGAGCTAACATCTGTGCCAGTCTTCTTCCAGTTTGTATGTGGGGCACTGCCACAGCAGGGGTGGTGAGTGGAGTAGGTCCGCGCCCAGGAACCCAACCCGCGAACCCGGGCCACGGAGGCGGAGCGCACAGAACTTTAACCACTCAGCCATGGGGCTGGTCACCCCTTTGGCATTTCTGAGTTGGGTGAGCTTGGGATCTCTTTGGGTTTGGAGCTGAGACAAGGAAACTGAGTCACAGGAGTAGGAAAGTAGGGAAGGAATTTATTGAGTGCTGACTATGTGCTAACTCTGTGAGGCAATTTATGTCCTCTAATCCTTGCAGTAACTCCAGAGGGTAGGTGCTGTTACCTGGGGCTTATAGATGAGGGGGTGGTGGCTCAGGGAGATTAGCATCTTGCTCAGGATGGTGCCTCTGGAATGAGCGTTGGAGCCAGGACTTGGACTCAGAGCTGGCACCACATTCCCACTGTTTCATCAGACCATCTTGTGGGGCTGTGTGTGGCATCAGTGTTTGGGATGTGGGCAGAAAACGTACTGCCATTTCTGGAAGCAGACCTTCCTGCAGTAAATTGGTGGTTGTAAGGGAAATGTGTTTGAGGGAATTGACCGGGAGAATGTTCCTGGAGCCTTTTTAGCAGGTAGACGTGTTGAGCCTGGTCCCTGTAGGTTGTGTCCTGGTTCCCAACAGGAAGGGGAACCTTCTGCTTGGTGGGGCTGTGAGCCTGATCTGTGTGTCTAGGCCTTTCTACATGCTGCTGCCCTTGGCGTCTGACCAGGAGGCCTCAGGCATCCCATCCGGTGTGACAGAGCCCAGGGATTTCCGAGGCTTGGGGTGGCACGGCACACTCTTCTCTCTCTTAAGGGTCCCTTTCCTGCCTTTTGGTCCTCATGTTGGTTACTTGATGGCCTTTTGGCCTGTCTGCATCCAGCAGGCAGTCACAAGCCCCAGCCTGAGTTGCCCATCTAAGATAAGCCCCTTGGGCTTGCCCGTGGCAGAGGTCCAAAGAGACCCCAGCTCAATGGGAGTTACTGGAAGAATCTCCTGTGCCCCATGGAGCAGGAAGTTCCATAAAAGTTTAAATCTGTTAGTTTTTGTCCTGTTTTGTGCTGGGCGGGGTCTTGAAAAAAATGGGTGTGGGTGTGTTAAGGGGAAAGAAATGTGAATCACGGGCCTCTAACTTCTCCTTTGCATTTGCTAGGGACAGGAGGGTGAGATGTAGCAGTAGGGAAGGAAGAACGCTCTGTGGAAAGTCACCATGAAGTTTATCCCACCTCTGTCCTCCTGGCCTGCCCACAAGGTTCAGAGGTCTGGAAGCGGTGTGTGCAAGCAGCCCCATCTCCCCATCCCAGGAAGGTATGGGCATCTGATCTGCCCCGGCACCAAGCCCCACCCTGGTGGGCTGGAGAGGTGTACTGGTCCTCCCGGCTCCTGAGCCCTCCTGGGGGCTGGCGCCTGAGGCTCACCTTCTTCCCTCAGCTGTTTAGCACTTCCTTCTTCTGAGGAAGATGGCTCCCTGTAAGCAGGCTAAACTGCAGATTATAAGGCCCCACTGGACACTACTGAGTCAGAATTTCTGGGGTGGGGTATGTGTGGGATTCCAGTATCATATCTTTAACCAAGGACTCCTGGTCACACCAAAGTTTGAGAACCCTCCTGGAGTCAGGGAGACTTGAGGCCCCCCCTTCACTTTAATGACATGGGCCAGGGGCCAGCTCTGACTTAGCTCTGAGGCCCTCCTTGGGGTCCTGGAACTGCAGGTGGGAGTAAAGTTGGCAGTGTCCTGTTTGGGAGGTGTCTCCCCTCCAAAGGCAAGCAATAACGAAGGTAAGGTCCAAAGAATGAGGGCCAGAAGCCCAGGCATGCCTCTTACCTGGGCAAAACAGTCCTTGGACTTGCCCTTGGTTCCATCCAGTTCAGTGGTGCGGCGGGCTCGGAAGGCATTTGTGCCCCAAGGCTCTGAGTGAGGCCCGTGTGGTCAGCTGTGAGCACAGCTCAAGGCCGCAGAGGCTGCAGTTCCCACCTGCCACCCAGCTGCCAAGATGTTTACTAACGTGGGGAAGGTTACAGTGCAGAAGGAAAGGGGAGCCCTGGGGTGATGATAGGCACAAAAATGACAGCTTTGGCCGGACTTGAAAAGGAGTGTCTGCTCACATCAGGTACTGCCCTTGGCCTTCAGAGTGAGGGGTGTCCACAACAGAAGCAAGTCCACTTCCTCTAGTTCAACTCCACTCAGTTTCTGACGTTGGCCCTGGCAGACTGGTGCCATCAGGAGTGGGCAGTGATGAGGGGGGCAGATGCACACAGCAGGGCCGGGTCTGCAGGCTCCCTGGCTGTGGGAGGTGGAGTGTGCCAGTGGCCAGAGTGTGTCTGGGCACAGCTGCTCCTTGGCTCTCACTTCACCCTCAGGCTGTTTCCAGTGGGAAACTTCCTCCTCTCTAATCTAATCCTGTTCCCCTTCATGCCACACCCCCAGCCGAGGGGGGGGGGACCTATGTGATTCACCTCTGTCTGGGGGCCTTCCCTACCCTGCTCCTGGACTCAGTTTCCCCAGCACTGTGGTCTTGAGTCTCCAGTAGGCCAAAGGCCAGCTGTTTTCCCAGTGAAGCTGAAGGAGCGTGGTTCCCACAGAGTGTCTGGTTGGCTTGATCAATCAACAGAATGGAAGGGGGTATGTTTGTTTGACCTGTCCATGGACCCTGACCCTGTCACCTTCCCTGCCCCCTTTGCCACATGGAGGCTTTTTCTTGGTGTGTCACATGTCTGGTCTGTGAGGTAGGTATTAAAGACTTCTTAGCAAGACTTTGTGCCTTGGGTGAAAATGTGGCCTCCACTTAGCTCCTTTTAGCTGACTAAACTATAGGGTGGGAGTTGGCAGGGGATTCTGAGTGTTTTTTCAAAACTTTTTTTCTTTAAAGATTTTATTGATTTATTTTTTCCCCCCCAAAGCCCCAGTAGATAGTTGTATGTCATAGCTACACATCCTTCTAGTTGCTGTATGTGGGACACGGCCTCAGCATGGCCGGAGAAGCGAGGCCGGAGAAGCAGTGCGTTGGTGCGCGCCCGGGATCCGAACCCGGGCCGCCAGCAGCAGAGCACGCGCACTTAACCGCTAAGCCACGGGGCCGGCCCTGTTTTTTTTCAATTGAGCTGTAATTCTCATATGATAAAATTCATCTTGAATGTTGTTTTGAAATAAAGCTAGAAAAGATTTTCAGCTCTGGGTCCTACCCCTCCAGCCTTCCCAAAGACTCCCCTCCTTGGGTTCTCCCTTCTTCCACGTCAGTGTTATCTTTCTCCTCCAGATCATTCCCATTGTAGTGGGTTGAATGGTGGCCTCCCAAAAAGATGTCCATGTTCTAATCCCCAGAACCTGTGAATATTACCTTATATGGGAAAAGAATGAATATTACCTTATATGGATCTTGAGAGAAGG